CAAAAAATCGTGGGATGACGGTGGTTAGATCATCACCATATCATTGCGAAGTAAACCCGATTGAACTGATATGGGCACAGATAAAGGGAGAAGTTTCAAAAAAAAATAATTCTTTTAAAATGAGTGATGTTAAACAGTTGTTTTTGGAGGCTGTAAATAATGTGAAGCCTTAAAACTGGGAAAAGGCAGTAAATCATACGATTAAAGAAGAAGAGAAAATGTGGAAGTTGGACAATATTACTGATGAAATGATCGAGCCACTCATTGTAAATATTGGTTGCGACAGTTCATCTTCTGATTTGGATTTGTATGTAAGAAGTAGTTTTTATATTAAAATTATTATTTATGAACGTAACGTTGTTTAAAAGTCAAAGTTTAAACCAGCGGCGGTTCCTCAATAAGTGCACATGTGCACCCCCAAATTTAATGCCTCTTAAAAAAAAAAACTAGTTAAATCCTGTGATTCTGTCCTGTCATTATTTTAATAATTATTTTTATTTAAAAAACGATCAATTATTTCGTAAACAAAACTCCAAATCGCAAGACGCTATGCGTAACTTGAGAAATCCAGCCGAGAAAAAAAAAATAAAGCCGTTCGCTTTGCACGACGTCCGCCCAATGAACTGGAGTGGGGTAGAATGCTTGTCAAGAGGCTTGAGATGCGACTCTATGGGCGAAGATAGGTTATTTTTCATCTCACTCGGGAGTATTTATAACGACCATTTTCTATTTCACTTTGTTATTGTCTGATCCACCAGCCTGTGGATTGAACAATAACAATGTGAAACAGAAAATGGTTATTATAAATACTCCCGAGTGAGATGAGAAATAAAAATGGCTGCGCCCATAGAGTCGTATCTTGTTTAATTGATAAAATATGCACATTAGCTTTCTACCCCACTCCAGTTCATTGCGTCCGCCGCGATATCTTCGTACACTGCACATCGGAATATTCGATCCGATTGGGTCAATCTTCTCCCTCCCTCACCGCGGCAGTCTAGTGTGACGTTCGATGTTTCTACTGTCACGCGTGCACATGAAATTTGTGCACTTGTAGCTTGCGTGGGGAGCGTAATAATCGGTGTAGCTGTCGAAACGGGAATTTTGTTAAAATGACGGATATTAGCGTGCAATATTTAAAGACAATTAATTTTTCTTCCCTTCCTTTAGAAGAAAAAATAAAAATTAAAAGTGTTGGGCGTCCGAAACCAAGTGTATTAATTACGAATGTAACTAAATGCAAAAGTCGTGAATATAAACGTACTTTTAAAACAGATACTTATGAAAAAACTGACTGGTTGTGCGGGTGTGATGTGAGTAACAGTCTTTACTGCTTTCCTTGTTTATTATTTGGAAGCGACGAGGCATCAGAATGGACAAAATCTGGCGTTAGAGATTTAATACACTTATCCGAAAAAATTAAAAAACATCAAAATTCAAAGTCACATTTATCTGCTAAATTAGGATATAATTTATTAGGTAAACAAGATATTCGACAACAATTAAATAGTGCATATCGATCAAGCATTCAAAAACATAATGACCAAGTAAAGACAAATAGGTATGTTTTATCTAAAATTATAAACTGTATAAAATTTTGTGGTGCTTTTGAGCTTGCTCTCCATGGACATGATGAACAAGAAGATTCTGTGAACCCTGGTATATTTAGAGGACTTATAAATTTTTCTGCCGAACTGAATTTAGCACTGAGGGATCATTTGCAGCAAGCTACTGTGTTTAAAGGTACATCAAAAGACATTCAAAACGATTTATTGGAATGTATGCTTTCCGTGTGTCAGGCACATATCAAAAAAGAAATTGCCGCCTCGAAATTTGTGTCCATTATGAGTGACGAAACAAGTGATATTTCCAATATTTTTCAAATGGTTATAGTTTACCGTTATACTTTACCGAACGGCAGCCCCGTTGAACGATTTTGGACTTTTGTAAAACCGAATGAACATGATGCTGTTGCTTTAGCTCGCTGCATAGAAGAAGCGTTAAATTATGTTTTAAGAAATCCTGATCAGTTGATTTCCCAAAGTTATGACGGAGCAAGCGTCATGAGTGGCGCTCATGGTGTACAAAAACTTATTAAAGATAAATTTAAATACGCCCATTATATTCATTGCTATGCTCACCAATTAAACTTAATAATGTCTCAGGCAACAAGCATAAATACGAATGCACGTATTTTTTTTGCCGAACTGAGTGACATTACCAATTTTTTTTCCAACTCTCCACAAAGAGTTGCCATATTGGATGAAGTGGTTGGAAATAGAGTTCCAAGAGCATCTGCTACCAGGTGGAACTTCAAAATTAGAACCGTTAATACAGTATATGAAAACCAGGAGTCCCTTATAGCGTGTATGGAAAAAATACAATCTACATCCAGACAATCTGATACCATCACGAAGGCAGGCGCACTTTTAAGATTATTGCATGATCCTAAGTTTATTTTTTGGTTGTCAGTTTTTCATCGTATAATGCCCTACGTCAACATTTTATATTCACAGCTGCAAAAAAGAGCTACTGATTCAGTAACCGTAAAAAGATGCATTACTGAGTTTGAGCAAAATATTCAGAAAGAACGAGATAATATACGTACTATTAAAGAAACTGAGTTAGCAAACATTGATGACAGTCAAGCTAGGAAAAGAAGAAAGACAGAAGATAGACATTCTTATGTTTCTACGGTGGTGCAAGCCAAGGAGGTATGTGACACTATAATTGCAGAAATCAAAAGAAGATTTTCATTCACTGGCCATCTGGAAATAGCGCACTTATTTTCAGTTAATAATTTTGATACATTTTCAACGAATTTTCCCATACTAAACCTAAATTCAGCGATTATGAATTTTCCTTTTTTGAACAAGGATAAATTGAAGACGGAACTGGAAATAATATACAGAAGATCAGATTTTAGAGAAGTTTCAGGAGCAGTCCACCTACTTAAATTTTTAATTGAAAATAATTTGCAAGTAGATTTTTCAGAGACGTTTTTAGTGCTACAAGCAATTGTTACGATGCCCATGACAACCGCAGAAGCGGAACGTTGTTTCTCCACATTAAAACGAATAAAAACTTTTCTTAGAAGTACAATGGGTGAAAATAGGTTAACTGCCCTCGCAATGTTATCTATTGAGAAACAAATGATTCAAGAGATCCCAAATTTTAATGAATTAGTTATTGATGCATTTATCTCGAAAAAGGACAGACGTATTGATTTTCAATTTAAAACGTGTTTGTGAAGTATAAAAACTATTATTCCTATATCTATAAAGACAATTGTTTTGGCAAGGCCGAAGTATTCATCAGCGACAGCAGGGTAAGTTTTTAATTTTTTAATAAAATCCTTTAATTTGCTAACCCAGATTGACAGTTAGATTGGTTGTGTGGCACCCAATTTTTTTTTATCTTACGTTGTGCACCCCCAAAGTATTAAACCACACGCCGCCGCTGGTTTAAACCCTTATACCTACATAACCCGTTTGACACAATGTTCTTAACATACCTTGTGGAAAAATAAAACATTTTAGAAAAAATTGTACGCTTTGAGCAATCTATATAACTGTATATGTATGTAATGTATGTATGTATTTTGACAGTTTGTTGTAATGCCTAATTAGGCATTCCAACGACCTGTCCAAATGGCTACCAGTGGGTAATGACAGTTTAGATATGGCAACCCTGTTGTCATGTTGTTATTAACAGGGTCAATGATACATATATAGTTATATAGATTGCTCAAAGCTGATCGTTTACAAGCGGCCATATTGCCTGGCAAATACTTATTAATTTGAATCGGTTTAGCAAAAATGTGTTTTAAAACCAATTTTTAGCCTTTAGATATTTAAAAAAAAATAATTGCTTACATTTTTACTTCAAGGCATACGCTTATGTTTATTTTGAAAAATATAGATAATCAGTCTATGTAACTATCTATTTCATTGACCTTGTCAAATCACCAGGCCTACAGGGTTGCCATAATTTTGCCATATCATAACCCGTCAAAACCCACTGGTAGCCATTCAGTTTGGAATGCCTAATTGCTTGACGTAATTGCGGTAGAATCAAACTGAGTTTGATTTCAACGAAATAGTTCGTTGCTGTTGGCGCCCTTCTACGTAGTTTTAAACGGTCGTGAAGAGTTTCAGCACCACTCCTATTCAAGGCAAATAAAAACCACACTTGCATGTCATTATGTCCGGAATTTCGTCTTCTCCGTTGGCATGAATTTTTTGTTAACATTTTTGTGGAAATTTAATAAAACCCAAAGCTAAACTCAGTTTGATTCCAACGTACTTTCGTCAACGAACAGAAGTTCGGGCCAATGTTTCATACAAACCATTCCCATATTCCCTCATGGATCTGATATGGACGAACTGGTTGCCGAAAAAATCGTGTTATTTTAACGGAAATTCCATAACTAAATTTAATAAAAAAAAAAACAGCTTTAACCTACCTATTTCCGGTCATATACTTTTATTTACTATATTTGGCAACATCGCATGTATAGAACTGTTAATAACTGTCATATTATCAATAAATAAATAATACCAAAGGCGTAGATAAGCGGTGGGGAATATAGTTAACATCATTATTTTTTTAAAGGTCTTATTAAAACTTTGAAGAACAAAAACTAGGGATATATAAACGTTTACTAAAACAATTAATAGTTTATTGCTCTGCGGATAGTCTAATATCAATTAAAATGATTTAATTTACATTTATTTATGTTAAAGACTGGCAACACATTTTAAAACCTTTAAAAAACATTGTTATTGACAGCGAAGTCAAAATTGTTATTTGTAGTGTGCTTCAAATATATTACCCATTTTTGTTACCTGTTTTTCGGTAAAAAAAATTGGCAGTCGAAAAACCTAGTCGAATTGACGATATTCCGGAAGTTCGGTCGAACATGTGGTGAAGCGGTCGTCGGGTAGGGTTCCAACGAAACAACGCCGGCTGCTGGTTGCTTGAACGCCGGCTGGCTTTGCCTCTCTGCTTGCCTGGCGCTTTCCGTTCGTTGAAACTAAGGCGTACGAAGGGCTTACGGCGCGACCGAATAACACTCAAAGCCAAACAAAAACCGTACAGCTGCATCAGTCGAATCAGTCGTCTTTCGTATATCGGTGGGGGTGAGTTTCAAACTGACTGTCACGCGTGCTAGAGCTCTTCCCTTGTTCGTTGGAATATCTGTTACGTTTTTGGAGATTGGATTTTGTGTTTTTTGTGTGAATAATGTTGTTCGAGAATCCCCCTGGCAAGTTATTTACGCCGTATAGTGTACCACCCCCTGTTTCGGTATTACCGCCGCCTATTCTTGGGTAAGTGTTTATAGAAACGAATTTTAGAATTTCCCCAAAGAGACAGACCATAACCTTTCTTTTGGGCGGTGTTGCCGGCTGTCCTCATGTTTTGCTGTTAGGTGTGTAAATCGTTCTTTGCTTTGGATATAAATATATCTGATTATTTTGTCGTTTTGGTGTCTTCCTATTACTGGTTTGTGGACTGAGTTTAGTTAATAATATTAATAGCAAACTGTATCTAACATAGTTAAACAACAGCGTTATCCTAGGCATGATTTTAGTAGATTACCGTAATGATTTTTAAATTAAAAAACTAGTTATGTAGGCAATATTATTTGTAAATAAGTTGTAAATTTATTTATAATTACTACTTATGGGATCATAACATCAATTGTCGATTTGCGATTATGATGCAATAAGTAGTGCTTTTAAATAAATTAAAAGGGTAACGCACAAGTGCAAAAAATGTTGCTAAACAATTAAAACACAAAGGTAGGTACCTAACCTATGTAATTTCTGCTGTAACTGTTATTTTTAAGTCAACAATACTTAGGTAATGAACATATTAAGTTTTATAAAGTATTTAGCATAGGTAAGTACCTTATGAGGAAGTAGGTAGGCACACAAAAGTAAATTTAGAATAATAAATCACTGGAATTGTTTATAACTACTTAGGTGCCTACTATTTAATACCTAACTCTTTTATTAAAAACAATTTTTAGAGTAGCGGGTCGTTTTTTGAAAATTTCGCATATGTAGTTAGGTACCTTTTCTTCGACAGATCTATACTATTTTCACAGTAGGTACTTTTTATTTCACATGGAACGGTCTTTACCTTATTCTTATTTAGGTACCTACCTATGCAGTGTGTAGGTAGGTATTCTGGAATTATCATTTTCGACATTTCTTAAATATTTTTTTACTCTTCATAGATATGTAGAGTATACACCCTTTATATTAGGTATTGTTAATGCGTATTTGTTTTTGCCGAGATTTTTGCTGATCGATTTTTTGTTTAATATAATAATAATATATTTATTGCTTTTAAAAACAGATTGTTTTACAGCAAGGGTTTGACATACAAAAATATACCTGAATAGAATTATTTGTGGTTTTTCCTAATCCTTTCATTAGTTTTTAAATATGTTATTTAAATTTGATTGCTGGTTAAAATCATTTAAGTACAACAAATAGGTACCTAATGGTAGATTAGTGCGAACGTTTGTAATTAAAAATTTCTGGGAAGTTATGTAAGCTGACACTTAATAAATAACCCGATCTACAACGAGACATACCATTTTTTCCATGTGCCGATAATTGGTATCAATTACAAAAACTATTTATATATATACCTGCTGTATAAATAGTATATTATTATTAAAATTCGTGAGCCAGTACACTCCATTTTGTTGGTGTATGTTTGGGGCAAATAAAAACATCTGGCACTATTGAATAAGTACCAGATGTCTGTAATATAAGACTTGGCTACATATATGAATCCACTGTACGGATGCAAGCTTCACTGGGCAGTTGGTGTACTTAATTGGTTAGGTAAGTACCCATAGGTACTTTAATCGTGCGAGGTACCTATTAGGGACTAAGTAAATTATGGCGTACTTATATATTTTTAGTCAGCAGTTGCGAATAATACAGAAACGTATAGAAGTAGGATGCGTTTTTATTAAATATTTCTATTTTTTTTTTATGAAATTACCTATTTCGTGAATTTTTAGAAACTTAACTCTAAAAGAATTGCAAAAAACGCCGGAAGACTTCATGTTTGAATGCACAATCAAAATGGAATGTGAACTCTCCGTGAATTTAAAAAATAGTGTAAGGAAATGAGCAAATTAACTCGTTTACCAAACGATAATTAATAGTGAAAATATGGAGTACTAAGTCATAAATTATCATTGAATCTCAATATAAAAATATATTCAGAATGTGGAAGACAGATACCTACTTACCTACAGGAAATAGTTAAATATTGTTTGCAAAAATAAGTCAAATACAAATATACAAAAATGTCAAATAAGCATCTGGTTATTATCATTTTTCTTAAGTATTTGCAGATGGCTAGTGTTGGCAATCTAAATTGTTATTTTGTTTAGTTTTTTGTTAGTATTTTATCTTGTTTTTGTGGCAGGTTCCTATAGGGATCTGAAAGTATTTGCTGAATTACAAAAAAATCTGTTTTTTATAAATACCATAGGTACCTATAGGTATGTTTCCTATACTTACACACTGTTAAGTAAATAGTTTTTAAAGACTCCCTATTGGCAAGATATTTTGTGACATATGGCAACGCCGCCAACGACTAGGTACTCCGTAAAGTAGTACGAAAATATGTATTTTGTTTATTTGTTGATTGATTGCAGATAAACTTGTATGCATGGATTAGAATATTTTATTTTTATTCGCTGAATACATTAAACAAAATTCTCGATACCCATACTAACTATATAGTACCTCTAATTTCTAAATACCTAACCTTGAATTTAATCTCGTTCCCTTTTAGTTTTCCTATAGTAACGAAACATTTGGCAGATTTATTAAGGATTAAAATAGTTTTGGGGAAACTGTACATAGGGATTTATAAGTGCTATTACAATACAACGTCGACAATCTCGAATAGGGGTTCTGTATTCTCGGTATTAGGTTCCTCTTAGTGTGATTAGAGGTGGGAACTGGTGATAGAGGAACTTGTGTTATATAGAATATTTAGTATTTGAATTTGTTTTTTAATAACTGAATAATTACATAGGTACTTAATTAGAAAATAAAATAAAATCTGAAAATGATGATCGTACTTTGAAATTATGCTTAAAAACTAGTAGTAATTGTATTTTTAGTATTTTAATTGTTTGTTGGCACTTTCATGTTTTTAATTGTTTTTGTTATTGCTACTAACTGTCGTATACATTCCATATTTCCTTGAAAACATACACATATACAAAAAAAATAACACTTCTACGTATTGCTCAAATAAACGGCTTCATTAAAGTAAATAAACTTAGAATACGTGTAACCTTTGAATTAACTTATTTTAGCAGTAAATAAAAATATACATTAAACAAATATGGCAGTTTTTAAAGACAATGAAAATGTAAGTAACAGCACCCAAGTTTGAAATGTATCATAATTTATACGGGCTTTTTAATAGTAGGAAACGCTGTATGTAACATTAAAGTACCGGACTTTATTGTAGGTATAGCAGTGGCGTAACTAGAGGGGAGGGAGGTCGGATCAAATCGAATAGCACATCACACCGGGTAATACCTACACATGCATGTATTTTAGAAAAACATGGCTACATTTAATATTTGTTACAGAGAGTTACAAATCATTTTGATTGGCCAAATTAAAACTAAAACATTTAATTACTGCATTTCTAACAAGTAAGATTGTTTTGATACGAATATTTGCTTAATTTTAGGGTTTTGAAGGGGTTCTATCCCCCTCTTCCCCATAGTTACGCCACTGAGGTATAGTTTTTAATTCCATAAACGAAACAAAAGCAAATGTATTTCGATCTAAGGGGTACTTAAATGTTTACAACATAAGAACAAAAATAATGTTGACAATTTTTTCTGGATACCCAAAAGACACAATTTCAAGACAATTCATCGAATTATATATATTTTCCTTTAGTCTGAAGAACTAAATGTCAGAGGCAGTTCATACAGTCCACCCTCCGCTGAAATAAAATATTATTTTAAAAATATAAAATATAACAATCTTTTCCATATGGACTCGTGTATGTCTTTTATAAAAAATGACTACTTACGAATACAGACTATGAGCTACTTAAATAAATAAATACTTCTTTTTTAAACTTGATGAACTATAAAAATAAACATGCAAATATAAACGTAAAAATATGACAAACTTTGAAATTTTCGCTCGTTACGTATTTATATAAAATAATATTTCTAAAACTTGGCATGCATACATTAACCTGCTCCTGTGGCCAAACTTTAGAAACCCGCCCTTGTTGTATAAATTCGTAAATTTACTGAAAACGTTTTCGGTGAGAAGAGCAACATACCTAGAAGCTATTTTTAATAGCCCCTATTTATGTATTCATCGACTTGCGAACGAAAAGTTAAATCTTCCATAAAGTTCCCAATTAGTATGGAAATATTGAAAATGATGTATAGGTATTTATAGGGTGATGAAAGAAATGTAAAACATTGGCAAACATCCAAAAATACGTTTTTTACCTATTAGAAAATTATTTTAAAATCTAAAGTTGTTTTAACCTATTAAAAATCGTGTTTTGTGTTACATTATGGGTAAACAAATTTTAATTAACGTGTAAGTCGTAAAAAAGTCTCCCTCAGTTGGCTATAAACGGCTATAAATTAAATCATTTTTGTCGGACTTTACATTGAGCTCCCTGTATGTAGACAAAGTGTAATTATCTCATATCTCTGTCTTTGTCGGTCATTGTCAACAGGAGAAAAATGCTCAGTTTTATAAAACGCAGCCAATTACCTAAACTTATTTTTTTTATATTATTTGTTGTACCTTGTATATTGTTGTATATTAATAGGTAGTAATACCGATTGCAAATCCATTTTTCATTTTTGTCTTGTTCAATCGTATTTAGACTCACAGTCAAGGAAATAGACTCTACAATATATATAATATTAGACTCCACAGTCCAACAAAACACTTGACATATTATAAATTAGACTGTACAGCATAGGAAATAGAGTCCACACTTTATAAAATAAACTTCATACTGTTGAAAATAGAGTCTAGAGGTTAGGACATAGATATATCCCACACTCTATTTATTATTCCTTAGGGTAGGAAACTAGCCCTCTTGGTTTTTCGTAGTGTAAAGAATCTCAGTTCCAATAGTCATTCGGAGTAATATTAATTAAATATCTCCTGTCTGGCCGATCATATGTAGAAAATGTCTGTTAAGCCTACAGTGATGGTGCTTGGTATATTTTGTCTATGGTCCTTCTACGAATTATTCCATCCTGAGTTGATCTACTCTTTCTGAG